GAGGCCTGCTCAATAACTAGATTGGAAACAAATTAACCAAGTCACCCTTGGTCCAAAAAAGAACTAGGTTAGAATTGCCAAAATATGTTTTAGTCTAAAAATTAGCCAGACTATGGTTTGTTTGTTTTTTCGAAAAGAAATAGGGTGAGGTGCCCTGATCAATTCGTTACCAAAAAAATAGCAAATTAAGTCACCTGGAGAAAATTGAGAAACAAAATATCAATCAATTCATACTCCCGGATAGGAAGAGGACCATAGCCGTCACTTATCATTTGGATCATAGATGGTTGATACCCTTTTTCCAATAACTCCAACAAACGCAAAGTATTATTAAACCAGTTACACAACGAAGTATTTAACCACCCACAGAGGCACGTAATTACAAACCCCAAAGAAAATATACACAGAAAAAAGAAATTGTTTTCCTATAGACTAAAACAAACTGCTTCAACGCCATCAGAAGTTGGCTCCCTCTCCATCTTTGTCCTTCCTTTGTAGTAGTGTGTCTATCCCTTGTTCCTTGGCTGCACTTCTCACCTCTTGAGCCTCTTTCTTGCTCGTGCTTCCTGTCTAGAACAGGATGAAATGGGCTATACATTAAACGCCATCAGAAGATAAGATTGTTTCGTGCCCTTCATACGCACCAACAGAAGGCAGGAAATAAGACTTTCCATAGCTTTCTGAGTTTCCGATCATGATATAAAACTAAGTTTAAACTAGAATTAGTTCAATAAAGTCTAGTTTAGACTAACTTAGGCTAAGTAGAGTTGGTTCATAGTGAACTAGGTTATTTTCAAAGTTATCGTACATAACCTTTAAGTACCACCCAATTGAGAATAGATCCTGTGTAGTTCTATTTATGCAAGTAATTCCCGTGTGAATTTTTTTTTTTTTTTTTTTGAAATTAGCAAAAATGCTTTGAGTCAGTTAGACCCCTATAGTTCTATTGATGAGGATAGATCCCCAATTACTAATTCGTTTTAACTTGAAGAGTCGAAAAAGTTCACTAAGCAAGCACTTGGGCCAATACTATAGGGGGTCTAGTCGCACAAACAGAATTAAAAGGGGGTCTATTCATAATTGGATGATACTAAGGGTGTTTATTCGCAATTAACCCTTAGATCAATAAGCAAGAGCACATGCTCTCTCTCTCTCTCTCTCTCAACCGATTTGTTGTTGCTGCTGTTTTGTGCTGTGGTACTTGCCTTTGAGCTTCTCTAGAGAACAGAGGAGAGAACAACATTCCATCTCCTTTCCCTCGGGTTCCTCTCCATTGTGCAGAGAGCCATTGATTTTTCTCTTTCTTTGATCTGATTGTTGTATTCCTTTTTGGTTTCTTTTTATCTGATTACTGATTATGTCCCCTCTTTCATCATATATGATCACCACCAAACTTTATATGAATCTTTTGGAGTGCTAGTCCGCTAACATTTAGATTTATATCATTAATTAAGTGTGACTAGCTTTATTTAAGGGTGTTCAATTACATGATAATGGTATTGTCGGTGACCGGTAGAGTGAGAGATGAGGATGAGTTTGGGTTGGATGAGATCACTTCAGATGGTATACATTAACCTCGTACTTAGAAATGGTCATATTACTTCACTCAACTCAATGGCTATAGTTCTTCAACAAATTTGAAATCTAAGGAGGAAAAGTTTATATCCAAACCCTTTTGACTGAGTTCAAGCAGAGTTCTAATTTGGCTATTTAAGGATTAGTTTTTATAGGGAAGTTTTGCTATGAACCTCTTCTTTTGTTCTGTTTATGATATCAATACCTTCTCCAAGGTCTTTAGTTGATTCGTTAAGCTCTTACTAATTAAACTCTTATTAGTGGAACACAGGAAGGTTAATTACCACCCCCACGGATTTGCTAAAAAAAAATTCTCTGAGTGAACTGATGATGATGTCACAAGCTGAAGATATTCTTCTCGAGAGAGAACTTTTATGATAGAATTGGTCACATCCTTCAGTTCAAAGGGTCGCTTTTAGAAAGAAAAAAATGGTTATTGCATTTAACACTTCTATAGGTAGCCGTCAATCTCTTTTAGATTTGGATGAACCGTCGTCACAAGTTCTCCCAGCCACACCTGCACACACGAGAACGCTGCCTAAACAGGGGCACATTAAATAACAATAATTTAATTCCTTAGAAAATTATCTTGCTTGCTGAATGAGATTCTGTCATTGAAAAGGATTAGGAATATTCAGATGAGACTGGAGTTGTACGTCTATATAGTCAAATAGTTTTATGCTTTTTTCAATTTACAAATAAACCCTTTTTCTTTGGATAAATTTTTATAACCAACCCTTTTTGAACTTTAATTTAAACAATCGACCCGTTTAACATTTATTTAGCATTTTAGACCTAGTTTCAGCCATTTGGCTGAAATTGGGTAGAAAATGCTAAATAAGTTGAGAAACTTCACGGGACTGAAAATCACGTGAAGTTTAGCACGAAGTTAACCCTTGCTAACAAAGATAAGAATCATCACTCGAGAGCCTACATGCCTCGACCCATGGACGAGAGCCAAACTTCACGGGATTCAGAATCCTGTGAAGCTGTTGTGCCAACCAATCCCTGTAGCTTCATGGGATTCTGAATCCTGTGAAGCTGCAGGTGATCTCACAGAGACTTTGAAGTCTTTGTCGAGTTGCCCCGCAACTTCACGGGATTTAGAATCCCATGAAGTTGCGGACCCCACCTCATTTAAACCATGTATACTCTCTCTCTCTCTCTCTCTCTCTCTCTCTCTCTCTCTCTCTCCTCCGTCTCTCCCCTTA